TGGTTGCTTTGTGAAGCTTAATGTTAGTTAAATTGGTCGGACCTTGTGTACAATAATTTTATTTTTGATTATATGTTGGTTTATGGATGAGTCATTTTGTCTCTATGTTGCCCAACGTTTCGGTGCCACAAGACAGGAGCGAGACAAGGTTGCACCGTAAGTATTATTTATTTACTTCTAATCAAATCAGTTTTTATTTAGCTATTTTTGGATGGATACAAGTTAGTAGCCTATTTTAGATTGTCAAGTAAAACTTTATGACAAAAATCTGGGTGATATCCTAATCATTAAACTTAATGAATTTTGTCCTTATTAATAGGATACAGAGAATGATTAACCTCTGGCCTTGGAGAAAGAGGGAGCTTGATAGCATTTGTAAGAAGCAAGTAGTTAAAATTAAGCATCTAAACCAACTGGTAATAGAATATTTTCTTGTTGTAAACTGTTTGAACTATAACTGTGTTTTAAATTGGTCTAACATGTAAATTTGGTCTAACATTTCTAACTTCTTATAAAAAGGGCAGTGAGGGACTACTGTAGATGCAAAGTAAATTAATCCAATTTTACTGTACGTGATGTCATTTTTCATTTTCGCATCTTCTGAGGAATTTTGTTTACGTTGATCTAGCAAATGTTTTTCCACACGCATCATGTCATCACCATTAAAAAAATAATTTTAATATATATAAACTGCCATGAGAAAAAAAAACTCTGCACAGTGCGGAGTTGGAGACTATCTCTCCACACTGTGCGGAGAAATTTTCTTTCTTTTTTCTTGGTAATTTTTTTCTTCTTTTTTTTTCTCCATTCTCTCTCGCTCTCCCTACTTTTCTCCATTTTTTAAGCAATATCTATTTTTTCCTACTTCTTCGACATAATATATATAAACTGTTATGAGCACAAAAAAAAAACTCTCTGCACTGTGCGGAGAGTTGGTCTCTAACTCTCCGCACGGTGCGAAGAGATTTTCTTTCTTTTTTTTGGTAATTTTTTTTCTTTTTTTTCCCCTTTTTTTCACTCTCTCTTGCTCTCTCTAGTTTTCTCCATTTTTTGGGTAATATTTATTTTTCTCGACTTCTTCAACATAATATATATAAACTACTATGAACAAAAACAAAAACAGCAATGAGGCAAAAAATTTTGTTTATGAATGTTCTTCCACAGCATCGTGCTATCACCATTAAAAAAAATTAATATAGATAAACTACCATGAGAAAAAAAAAATACTCTCTGCACTGTGGGGACACCATCTCTCCACCTCTCCGCACAGTGCAGAGAGTTGGAGCACACTCTCCACATAGTGCAGAGAGATTTTATTATTTTTCTATAATTTTTTTCACTCTCTCTTTCGCTTTCCCCTACTTTTCTCCATTTCTTTAGCCAATATCTATTAATATAAATTGTCATGAGTGCCAAAAAAAAAAAATGCTCTCCAAACTGTGCGGAGAGATTTTTTTTTTATCGGTAAGTTTTTTCTTCTTCTTTTTTCTTTTTTTTTCCCACTTTCCCTATTTTTCTTCATTTCTTTACTTAATATCTATTTTTCCTTACTTCTTCATGCAACATCTATTTATTTTTCTTCTCTCCTCCAATTTTCAACCCATTTCTTTTTCTCTCAAACTCCTCTCTCTCATCCAAATTATACATTTTTTGCTCAATTCATATTTTATCTCTCAACATGTCATGTATTGATAGTTTTACTATACTTCAGGTGTCTACGGCAGATGAAGTAGTGGATCTTCGATTTCTTGAATCCAAGAAAAGGTTTTGACCTAATTTTTTTAAAAACTTTTACTGTTTCATATTAGAAAAAGTCTTTTGCTGGATGTTTGATTTTCATTGATGATTATGTAATCAAAATTTTGGGAATTTTATCATTCTTTTTTTACAGTTGTCGTAATAAATTTAATAAATTTCTTGAATGTTAAGCTTGAGTTTTTGACATCTTACAGTTTGGTGGTTGCCAGATGTATATTCTTTTACTAATGTATTTTTTCTGTTTTTAATGATAAATTTCTTATATACTTTGGCTTTTCTTTTCATTTTTCTGCTATTTTTTAATTGTTTTTTAATCTTTCTTATCCTACCTCCACACCTCTTCTTTTAATCTTTCGTTTCTCTCTTTTTTTTTTTCTTTTTTTTTTTTTTGTACTTTCACCTACAAGATTTTCTACTTTTGTTTATCCAAGGTTAAATGCAGTTCTTCATTTGGGAGACGAGATATTTTGACTCTTGAGAATTTATTTTTACAGATAAATGGATGAACACTTTTGCTGGAATAGCTTTCACATCACACACCTTAGATTTTGGAGTTGTAAAGGTGTATTTTTTAAATTGCATTTTATTAATCATCTGTAATGCCGTTAAGTTTCTTTGTTATGGGTAAATATCAGGTTTTTCATCCATATAACTGCGGAATACTTGTTTATTTTCTGGACTGGCTATATGCTTTATGAGGAATATGGAAGATTTGCATCAATACGGTTAAAATATTTTGCTTCCCAAGACAAGCATGCTGAACAATTAACGGTTAGTTAAATTTAAATTGCTATTCTGATATCATGTATTAGCAAGAATGGATTACTGCATTTAGTAAATAGAATATGAAAGTTGTTTGATTTTTTGTTTTAGGGTACCTTATTATTTCATTGAATGGCTATTTATATCTACAACATTTTTTTCAATTAAAAGTATAAAGAAGTGAACAAAAAAGTGAGTAAATGATATACTAAATGAAGTAAACTTGATATTTAATGTTGCGCAAAGTGGATGCTTCTATTTCGTTTCTTGTCCACGTGCATTATGCTTCTCATTCAATTCAATTATTATAAGAATTTTTCTCTCATGGAGATTCAATAAGTTAATGTGTGTCTTTACAATGTTTTACTATGGATGAGTGACATATAACATAATTGCCTCCTAAAATTACCTTTTCATTGTCGAATATGATGTCAGTGTTGAATATGTTGTTGCAATAACTGAGTAAAAAGTTCCAGCATCTACACTTGTTCAACTTTTTAAACAAACATATCTCATACTCCCATGCAACTAACTTGCAACTGAAAACTAATATATGAAAAGGTTTTTTCATATATCCTTGGATTCATCCCTACGCAACTAACTTGCAATTGAGCAAAAATTATATTAGACCACTCGTTTCATTTTCAAGTTTGTTGGTTGTGATGATTTCTTGCAAGCTGCAGTTTTTGATCAATTGAGTTTGACATTTTCGTCAATTTTGTTGAAAATCATTAGACTAACCAGTGCTTAACTGGAATTATATTCCTATAATCTGTGTACAATTGATGAGTCATTGTTTAGAATTTCTTTTGTGATGCATCCGATGAAAGTTTAATAGAGAAAATGAGTCCCATCGTTAAGAAAGTTGATGAATCGCAATGATAGATTATTGAATTGAATAGATCAATATATGCAGGCCTCCAATATTTTCCTTGACTTGGTGCAAGTGTTTTTTGGTTAATATCTTAAGAATGTCATACTACTCAGTTCAGACATAATGACATTACTAATACATTCAATTTTTTTCACACACTTGCCTAAACTAAGCAAACACAAACACTAGATAATTTTTAATTTAGAAGATAATGATTTTTGAGATAGTATGAGCATTCTTCACTTTAGGTTTATTTAAGTAACTGCAACAAAAGTCTATGCATGGGGATTTTATAGATAGAGCATTGATGAAACAATAAGATGCTCCAAGAGTCTTGAATAATGCAATAAATCTTCAGCATTTTTTTTAACATCTACAATTTCTACACTAATAAAAATACAATAAATACAACATTCGTGACAAGGATTAGTTTTAATAAAAAGGTGACACTACACTTTTAAAAGTGACATTGTGTCACTTTTTTTTTTTCAAGAAAAGTGACAATTTTTATTAAAAAAAAAAAAAAACATTGTGTCACTTTTTAATTTTAAATAGTATTTTTTACTTTTAAAATTTATTCCATATGATTTCTTAAAAGATTTTTAATTTTAAGGATATTTTTGTGAGTTGTCCCTTAAAAAATTCACTGGTTCTGGTTTTGGACTGAATATGGGCAAAAACCGCACCCTGTGCGGTGTTGACTTGTATGATTTGTAAATTTTATTTTTAAAGAGAATTCTATAGATATACCGATTCAATTGATTTTCAGAAATGAGTTTTCTCAAAGACATAATCGAAAACCTAGGTTCAATTCTGTCGTCAGATTCATCATCGGAGTCTCATCAAAGTCCGAGCACCTCCACTGATCGAGCGATGGACGGTGGCGATGGAGTTGCGACTGGGAACGAACGCGTAGCGTTCAAGCTGAAAGGCTACTTCGATTTGGCTAAAGAGGAGATTGCCAAGGCCGTACGTGCAGAAGAGTGGGGTATAGCAGATGACGCCGTTTCTCATTATCAGAATGCTCAAAGAATACTCAACGAAGCCATTTCCACTCCTGTGCCTTCCTATGTCACTTCTAGGTATGCGAACTTTTCTTCAGTTTGAATATCACAAGTTAATGTGAGATGTTGAGAGCATTGGAAATCGGAGTTAGACAGAAAACAACTAGGCAATATGCTCTACTATATCAGAGCCATTATGTTGGAGTTGAGTCAAGCCCTGTCTACTGCACTGGCCGCATTCAATGACTGAGCTGAGGCAAAAAACTTCACAACTCAATATTTTGTATATTATAGAAATGCCTAAAAGGGAGCCGTTGCGTTGGAGTTGAGTCGAATAACTCCCCATTTGTTAAAGCTTAGCCCTTTATTGGACATTTTGTTAGTCTATCCATTGCTCTGATTGTGATCCTTCTGCTGACACAAAACAAAGAAGTTAAATACTCGATGTTTATAGTAATACCTGAAAGGGAATCATTATGTTGGAGTTGAGTCATATGACTACCCAGATGTTATGGCTTTGCCCTTTTATGATCAATTGTTAGTTATCACCCTTTCTGCTGAACTGATCGCATTCCATCTGCTGAAAAGTAAAATCTCAATAGTTGTCATATTATTGAAATAGCCATTACCCAAAAGGGAATTATTGCTATGGAAAGCACCCTGTCTGCTGCACTGATCGCATTCATTGTGCTTGGCCCTTTTATGGCCACTTTGTTAGTTCATGATATGACCCTGCCACATTTCAGACGCTGACCCGAGGCAAAGAACTTTAAACTCAATATTTCTGTATTATAGAAATACCTGACAGGGAGTGATAACTCAAACAGAAGCATGGATTCTTCTGCCTGAGTATATTGCTTCTACAGCCTCTGTATGAATAGAAAAACTGCTGCATGTTTCTCCCTCTTATACAAGGCATAGTTTGTTTTGATAGAAAGAAGTCGTGGAGAAAAACATAGTTTTGAATTTAAGGAGTAACGCCCTTTACAATATCCTAACCATGCAACAGACAAGATTACTGGTACCCTCAAGGGGTTTCCTCCCTGGCCCTCTCGTAGCATGGAGGTCTTCTCAATGCTTAATGCCACCCTAGATATGGATCGAACCGTCTCACGACATGAACCCAACTTAGGAACGCTTTAATTGAGAACAACCCATACAATTAAATATTATGCTTATATTTGTGCATTAGAATAAATAAAGGGGGGGGGGGGGGGGGGAATGCATGATCTAAAACCGTATCCCTCTGAGACACCAGTACTTAGTACTCGATGGTTCAGGGCATTTTAGCTGGTCTAGTAATAGGGATTAACCATTTGTCGCGGATGCGATATTTTTGCTTTCAATGAGTCTCCATATTGTACAGTTTGAAGTGAGTTATTTCGTCAGTATTAAAAAATTTATCCTGAGGCTTTAGTAGCTTACAGTTAATGCTAGCTCTAGAATATGTCTTTTTCTGCTTTCATCTTGAAGTATTAAGTCATTCAGGTAATTACTATTGATTTATGGTAAAGAATGTCCTAGTTCGGATAGAGAACATTATTGTATTATCACATGAATCATGTGTACTCTGGAATATCACTTAGTTCTCATATCTTTAATGAAATAATATGCACGAAAGTAGTTGAATTTTCTGCAGAATGGGTTCACATTTATAGTATCTTCCTCAGATTGCATTTACTCTGATCATTATCTGTTCCCAGTATCCCAGATGGTCTCATTAATCCTATATGAATTGAGATTATGATCCTATCAATCTTGGCAGTGAAAGTTTACTTTGAACTGAATAGTTTACATAGTTAATGTAAAAGTGTAAAACAACACACTGCTGCATTAAGAATCCATTTTGCATATAAATGTTATATTATTTCATCATTTTTGTACATGTTTAAAGAAATAAAAGAAAATTATATCTTGAAGGTTCCATTGAATGGCATGAATACAGCCATTGTCCATGCATACTTCTGTCAGTTTTCTAATTATCTGGTCTAAGCAAAGCATAAATTAAGGGTATGTCTAGCAAGGTATAAACATGGGTAAATGAGTGGTGAAGAAGTGGTTGAGGAATGAGTATGGATAAAAAGTGGTTTTGGGGAAAAGTACAGGTGTTACACCTAGAAACAGGTAGCTAAACGTACTCTAACGTGTTGCTTGTTTTCTTTCAACTTCTATGAACTCTCTAACTTGTTGCCTTCAACTTCTATGAACTTCCAACAGTGAACTGGAGAAGGTGAAATCGTACCGTCAGAAGATATCAAAATGGCAAGGCCAAGTAGCAGAGAGACTACAAACTTTAAGCAGGCGAACACGATCAGGTTTCTGTTATCAATTTTTTGAACTTCTCAGAAATTCCTTTTAATATTTAATTAAGCATGAATGCTTACTTTTTGCTTTTGTTTTCTTCTCCTTTTACCATAATTTTAGGTGGCACATCCGAAATCAAGGTATGGATTGCTTTGACTGAAGTGTAAGTTTGTATCTTTTGGTTTGTGTCTTTATCTGATTTGACAATTATAGATACACAATAGAGGCAATTATGTATTCTCATCTTTTTATGGAATTGCCCTCACTTTCTAAGTCATACTTTATTGCTGATGCTTCCTATAGTTTTAGCTAATAAAGAGATGTGGACTGTACTTTAATTTTTACCGCAGTTGACCAATTAGTACAATAGGAAACCTTTTCTTTGTTCCTTTCTTTTTTTAAACAAATTAATCTCTAAATTGGGTAGGAGGACTAGGAAGAAACTGATTTTCTAATCTTTTCCTCAAAATGTTATCACAGAATATAGAATTATCAATCTTTTTTTATTATTATTTTTTTTTGAACTTTATTCCTGTTAATATTTTTTCTTCAGAGCACCTCACCTAAGGCGCAAACCACAGCAGTCTCATCTACAACTTCTCAGGCTAGAAAAGTGGCAGTACAAAAGTCTTTTAGCAAGAGTAGAGAGAGTTCTGCATCAAGGAGTCCAGCTAATACTGCTATGAGTTCAAAACCCATGCAGGAATCTGGCAGTGGTTATGACTCAAAATTGGTTGACATGATAAATTCTGTTATAGTGGACCGGAGCCCTTCAGTTAAATGGCATGACATAGGTAAAGAGCCATGGCATATTGTCCTTCCCTAACTCAGGTTTCTTTAATGTGTTATTTTACTCATCAAGTATCTCTGCAGCTGGCCTTGAGAATGCAAAACAAGCTTTGCTAGAAATGGTTATTCTACCAACTAAAAGACGAGACCTTTTTACTGGCCTTCGGAAGCCAGCCAGGGGTAATATATAAGAATAGAACTTGACATTCCACTTTGTAAAAGAATACTAGTAATAATGTTTGAAAGTGAAATGAATAGTTTTTGTCTTACAGGTTTGCTTCTCTTTGGACCACCTGGCACTGGAAAGACAATGCTTGCGAAGGCAGTTGCTTCAGAGTCAGAAGCAACCTTTTTTAATGTTTCTGCTTCTTCCCTAACATCAAAGTGGGTATGAGCCATCTCTCTCTCTCTCTCTCTGTATGTGTGTATGTGTTAACTCTTTACAGTTGAAATTCTTATTATTTACATACAATATCAGGTGGGAGAGGGCGAAAAGCTTGTTCGAACTCTTTTCATGGTTGCCATTTCGCGGCAGCCTTCTGTAATTTTCATGGATGAGGTATTGACCTGCATTCGGAGTTGATCTATTAGTTAGTCTATGTGACTTTTTTCTTTCTTGTCCATCTGTCTCGTTGATCTATGCTATTGTTTTCCTGAGATTGACGACTTTATAGCAAGTTGCAATGGAGTGGTTGCATACACCCACCTAACTACAGAGAGAGAGAGAGAGAGAGATGGTTAGAGAACTGAATTATCTGCGGATATATAATTTTACTCAATTGGAATGCTAAACATCTCTTATTCAAATCATTGCTCTACTTGCTTCTTCTGTCAGCACAACGAGCTGCAATTTTTATTGAAGTGAATTGCTTTATTAGTCTAATTATTGATGAGACTCATCTCTCATGTGTTTGGTTATACCTTGGTTCAGATAGGTGCACTAAAAAAACAATTTCACAATCATTTTCCTCAAATTAAGAACTTCATTGGAATTAAAAGTGGCTAACTTATTTTCTATAGGCTATATATTAAAAAACCTTGGGTAGAATGTCTTTTAATTTACAATAATGTAATGATAGTAGAACGCACTTCTGGGAAAGAGTGGAACGTTTTTAGGCACCATACTCAAGATGTCTAGAAACCTATTTTTATATGTGTCATAATTCTATTACTGACCAAGAAGTACGTTTCCTAATATATTTCATCTTTCTGATGGCGTGATTTTATCAGGACTTGTGTCCATGTTATACAGTTAACTTTTTGTTAGATCTTTTATTCCTGTGATGGAGGTGTCTTTCTCATGGTCTTCTAAACCTGATGTCCATATTATTTCCCTGTGATTTTGTCAAGACAGATACTAATTCTTTCGTCAGATAAACTGGAAGATATTTTTTTGCAATTTATTACATGTCATGTTTTTTGTTCTGTGTTTTTATTATTCACCTGTCTCCTGATTTATGCTGGTTCTCTTCTTCTCTTTGCTTCCCTTTCTTTTGGTTTTGCTGATATTTTCTTTTTAGCTTTAGTGTAGTAAAGCTGCTGTTATTTGTTAAAATTCAATATTGACAGCTATTTCTTGTTCCCCAACCATATGAAGTTACACCTTGTTTTTTCTGTGAATAGAAATTTGTTTTCACAAGCATTGACTGCTATGCTTGATGAAATCTTTCTAATCTTTGTGGTAACAGATAGATAGTATCATGTCAACGAGGACAACTAACGAAAATGAAGCAAGTAGAAGATTGAAGTCAGAGTTTCTTGTTCAGTTTGATGGAGTGACATCAAGTTCTGATGATCTAGTCACTGTCATTGGTAAGCTTCATGCGCTAGCCTAAGCACTTAATTGTGTTGGTTTCTGTTCAACACAATCCTTCTGTAGATCTTGATCATCTCTAGATGTGAATTATGACATGTATTTTGTACCCTTGCGGCAATATTAATTTGGTATTTTCTTCTCCTAGTGCTCTAATGAATTGATCTGTCATGTTGTGTGTGCTGTACCCAAAAGCTCGCACCTCAAAGTTGAGCATTGACACTGTATCCTGCTTTGACTTAAAAGTTTTCAAATTCTACTACAAAGCCACAACTATAATGTAGAGTCCATTGTCATTTTTCTTTTCTTTTTCTGTTCAAGGTTTTTGGATTGTGTGTGCTCAAGTTCGAGTGACTGGGTGGGGGTTCTGGTAGGCTGGATATGTAAAGTTGGAGGATTATTGCATTAAGTGGGAACTGTTGACTCTGGATGAACATTTGAGTTCTTGTTTTTGATTTTTGCAATGCTTTCTATGCTAGCTGTCTATATATATGAAGAATGATCATCTATATATGCTTGACAAACTATTGAGTTGTCTTGCATTTTAAACGAAACAGCAAGTAATTTTGTTGTCTGATTCCCCAACCTATGCTTAATTTGCAAACAGCTATGGAATTATGGATTAAACTGAACTGCAGGCTTCTATTTGCAAATTATTCAAAGTTGTATGAAGTTAGGTGCTACAATTCCCGGATCTACTTAACTTGTTTCTTTCATTAATGTCCCTATAACTATGTTGCTATTCCCAGGAGTTATATATCTGCTGTATTTAACTATTGACACCATATACAAATGGTTTAAAAAGTCAAATTATACATGAAAACTCATCTAAAAAAATGTTTTGTACTTCTATAACTTGTTACACAGACAGAAAACAAATTTGCACAGTGTATAAGGTAATTTATTTATATTTCTCTTTTCTTCTTAATATGTGAAGCCTATCTACATCTGGGTTGCCCTTTGGTGGTCAGGTTGATATCAATAATTCCATATATTGCTTTTAAATGAGGAAGCTTGTGGATCTCTTATTTGTATCTGTCCTTGTGTTCGTGTATACACTCTATATCATAAAAGAGATGTGAAGACCGGCCAAGCACACCCATCTCTATATCTTTTAGTAATGCTTATTTATTTATTTTTCTGTTTGTTGTTTTGACACTTGTACTTGGATTTTTGTAGGTGCAACCAATAAACCACAAGAATTGGATGATGCAGTCCTTAGAAGACTGGTCAGTATCTTGATGCACTAATCTCGTGTCAAGTTAGCCTCTAGGGAAATTCAAGTATTCAATTGGAGCAATTTAGTCCAATTTTCTATGGGAAAATAATCTTGGGTTGTAGTAGTTTTCAAATTGATGTTTTGAAGATTTTTATCTAAATTTTTTGCAATTCTAAACTGTATTATGTACATTGAGATTTTATGGATTTTCAATTGAAAATTTGCTAAGGCCAGTTTTTCAGAAAAGACAAGGATATTGCCTACTGAGCCAGTCACATGTAAATTGAGAGAATGTCTGATTCTGATGTTGGCAGTGCATTTGGACTAGACATATGAGGCAACCTAATTTTTGTCCTTCTAAAAGATTTTTAGGTTATATGATTTGACTGCCATATCTCTAGATATCAATTTCTCTCCTGCTTCCCATGTAATTATTGTTGAGACTCCATATTCAATATTCTTTTTTTCCTCTCATGGGAGGAAGTGTTTTAGCAAACATGAAGAGTTGGACGTATTGGGAAAATGTCAATTATAATTTACGGACGATGTGATTTTAAGTGGAACTTCCTAGTTGATTTTTGTTCAAATCTTGAAACAGGTGAAGAGAATATACATCCCTTTGCCAGATGCAAATGCCAGGAGGCTTCTTTTTAAACACAAACTTAAGGGTTCATTTTCTTTGCCAGGTGAGAACATGTTTCTAAACGATGTATATATTAATTTACTAGCTTACTGTGTGTGCAAGAGTAACTATTCTACTAGTTGACATTGTTTCCTTCCTTTGGCTACAGATCGAGAATTAGAGAAACTTGTGCAAGAAACGGAAGGTAAGATAAGTTTCAAAGTTGAGGCTTTCGGAGCATAGTGATCATTGTCTTATTAACGAAGGAAAACGAAATAAGATTTAGAGGGTATATGAGATTAGATTAACTGCAAAGAGATGACTGTCAATAGTGTCGATTCATTGCAATATCTATTAGGAGATCTGAGAAACTGGATGATTTGCAATCACAAATAGGCCATGCTAGTTTTGGTCTACTTCTCCTCCTAACATTTTACACTAAAATGGCTTCAATCTTCTGAACAATAGCCTCCTTTAGTCTCTGTGAGAAGTGTTCCAACCACTTAATTCCTTCTTCCCTTAAGTTGTCCTTTACCAGTATCACCTCCACTCAGTTTATATTTTCATTTCTTTTCGTACTCATTTTAGCATGACCAAACTTCCATCTTAGCATTCTTGTTATCGTTATGTAATAAATGCATAGTGATCATTGTCTTATTAACGAAGGAAAACGAAATAAGATTTAGAGGGTATATGAGATTAGATTAACTGCAAAGAGATGACTGTCAATAGTGTCGATTCATTGCAATATCTATTAGGAGATCTGAGAAACTGGATGATTTGCAATCACAAATAGGCCATGCTAGTTTTGGTCTACTTCTCCTCCTAACATTTTACACTAAAATGGCTTCAATCTTCTGAACAATAGCCTCCTTTAGTCTCTGTGAGAAGTGTTCCAACCACTTAATTCCTTCTTCCCTTAAGTTGTCCTTTACCAGTATCACCTCCACTCAGTTTATATTTTCATTTCTTTTCGTACTCATTTTAGCATGACCAAACTTCCATCTTAGCATTCTTGTTATCGTTATGTAATAAATGTTCTATAAAATTTGGTTCTTTTAACCTTGTGGGGATCTTTTGAGCGTAATATCTTCCCTAAATTGCCCTCAATGTCTTCTATTAGGTACCATCACCTAATTTAAAACTCAGATGTATTGTTTTTGTAGGGTATTCTGGAAGTGACCTAAAGGCATTGTGTGAAGAAGCTGCAATGATGCCAATCAGAGAGCTTGGCACAAACATTCTCACAGTCCAGGCAAATCAGGTAATGCAGCTCCCCCCCCCCCCGGGGGCCCCCAGCAATTGAATATCAAAATTTTAATTGGTTCAAAGTTTTAGGAGTGAGCTTTGATATTAAAGCATTACAAATTTTTCCCTTAGTCTTCTCTCTTATACACAAACGCATGCGCAACTCAACTATTTTTGTTCCCATGCATCAGCTCAAAATTCTATAAAGCTGCTAAATTCCTTCTCCATGTGCAGGTAAGGCGTTTAAGATATGGAGATTTTCAGAAGGCAATGACTGTTATTAAACCCAGTCTACAGAAGAGCAAATGGGAAGAGCTTGAACAGTGGAATCGGGAATTTGGCTCCAACTAAATTATTATGGTACTAAGTTCTGTCATGATCCAAAACATGTTTTAGAATTATTTGACTGGAGAAAGAACTAACACATGCACAATAAAAAAACAAAAAATGAATGGAAAAATCTGAGCAACAAATGCTTTATATGGTACCATGTAAATATGCATTGATCTAGAATGATCAATCTATTAGTGAGATTGAAAGTTAAATTTTACACGCTGCTTTGAATTACTTTAATGTTTATTTCGCTCCTGTTTTGTCCTCACTTTTCATCTCAATTTATTTTCCACCACACATTTCTTGATAGTCACAATTTTTATTAACTATCTAACTGCACGTTTCATAACTTTTATCAAATTTTACTAAAAATCTGTTTTTAGATATCTAAACCAAGTATAGGCTTCATTGTCATGCAAGCTTTGATGATGCTAAAACTGGGATGCTAAAATTATTGGCAGACCTATAAACCGAACGCACAATTGCACGCTACTTGACGATAAAACACCCAATGGTGTGACCAGCCACTGCCACGGTGGAAACTACGGCATTGAAACACAGAAAGCACTATCGAGTAAGCGAGAGCCATGCGAACAGCACAAAAAATTGCCTGAACCAACCCGCCACTCAAAATGCCAATTCTCGGCTTTTATAGGAGGCACCGCCAAGGTTTCAACCACCTTCACTAGCTAAAACACAAAGGTCAGAGCCACTATGTACATGCCACGGCGGCCGTTTGGCCACCCGTCAAACAGAACCACCACATCTTTACGCCAAAAAAAAAGGTCAAGTGCGTGGCCATGTCACTCGTGTTCAGATTTTTGTACATGGAATCTGGTGGTATGGACATGATGGGTCATGGTCATGAGAACTTTTTGGGCAGGGCCGGAATTTTGATGTCAAAGAAAATATTATGAAGCCCCTTAAATATAATTTTTTTTTATAAGTAAAGTAAACTCTTTAGGATCAATCATGATCGATTCAAACACAGTTTTTTGTGATGAGGAATATTATGCATGACACTCATTGTTTCATTAGACCGAGAATCCATTCTTTCATTCAAGAAATATAACTATGGCCTTCTAAAAACCAATGAAATATATGAGTGGTTACCATTTAGTGCTTAAAATATCCTACATTTAAAATGTTAAAAAAACAAAAAACAAAAAACAGAAACCATAAAAAAACAAAAGAAAAGCAAAAAAACAAAAACTCAAAAGCAGCAATCAAATCTATATGTATATTGGATAGTGGAACGACCTGTTGCTATATTTGCACTATTACACCTTTAAGAAAATTTTTAATGCAAGAATTTTCTTTACAAAGGGCTGATGACACCTGTGGAAGTACATGTATAATTGAGCTAGTGTAATTCAATGGGGGGGGGGGGGGAGGGGGGGGGGAGGGGTTGAATTTTGAACTTATAAATTTTTTGAGGCTCCTTATATATTGAGATCCAAGGCCACTGCATCTAGCTTTGGGCCAAAACCGGGTCTTTTTTGGAGGAGAAGACAGATTTTGTGTGGGAATTAGACAAAATTAAAGAAGAATATTTAATGGGGGTGTCGATTATTCATATGTAAGGCTGAACGAAACTCCCGAATAGAATCAGATCGAACCGGACCCAAACTGAACTTAACTGAATCGAGCGATTCTTCTTAAATTAAATATCCGAACGAGTATCTGAATCGAAAATCGATGGATTCGGTTCGGTTTGATTCTTCAGTTCTCGGTTCTGGATCAAGAACCCAATATCCAAATCTTTCTAATTTTTTTAATTTATTTATTTTAAATAAGTCAAATTATTTTATTTTTTCTAAATAAATTTGTTAACTAGTTAATTTAGTTCAAACCCAAAAATATGATTTTCCTATTTTTAATTTTCAGTCCAAGCATAACTTAATCAAATTGACATAAGTTTTACCAAAATATGTTATTATACCGTAGTGTCATTTCTATTGTTTTCAAAAAATGGAAATGAAGCTCGACAGTGCATCTCTTAGTTATTGTAAGTTCACTATCTTACTCTTTCTGTAATTTTAACAATCAAATTTATAAAGAATTCAGTAAAGAGATAAGCAAAAGACACATAAGATTGGATCGAACCTGAACAATTCCATAATTAAATTTGGACCCGACGATTCCACTTACTAAATACTCAAAAATTTTGGGGCCGATTTTAATCTTGTTAGAACAGAACCGAATCGGACTATGTCCATCCCTATTCATATGCTTCTAGACTCTAGCAGAGTACCAAAGATGAAATATAAATGTGGCCATCTTTAAATTTTTTTCTCCTTGTGAAGTTTCATCATACAGTTTCATCATTGCATTCTTCTTGTCTCTATCTAGTATCTAATAAATGTTATTTGAAACTTGGTACTTTTAACATTATAGGGATCTTTTAAGCGTAATTTCTTCCCCCAATTGCCTTCAACTTCTCTATACGATACTTTGATCTAATTTGAAACTCAATCTGAGGTTATTTTTGTAGGGCATACTAGAAGCGATCTATAGGCATTGTGTGAAGAAGTTGCGATGATGTCGTCAGAGAGCTGGACATATCTTCTAACAGCAATTTTAAAATCAAATGCAAATAAGCATGGCTAAATTGGAAAACATAAATTTATTTTTTGATGTGACAAGGAGAATTTGCTGAAGAAAATAAATTTGGGATATGCTATGGGTACATAAAAGGGGGTACATAATGGTACCCCGCCCCCCACATGTGCCTGGCCCACCTGAATACATATTTAGGTGGGCCCGGCACATGTGAGGGAGAGACACCATTATGTACCCCCCTTTTATGTACCACAAGGGTTTTCCAATAAATTTTAGAGGAGCTCTCTTTAATGTTTGAAAAGTGAGAGCATTTCCATGTAATAGTCAAATACTTTAAGGACGTGTCTGTAATTTATATATGAAAAAAAGGGTAATTAGCACAAAATGTCTCTACCTTTCGAGATTTTTGTGAAAAAGTCCCTACCTTTTGTTATTTGGCAAATCTCACCCTCACTTTTACCTTTTTTTTTGTGCAAAACGTTCTTTTATCAACTCCCCATTAAAATGCTCTGTTAAATGAAATAAAATGAATCTTTTCTTTTGAAAATGAAGGGGTAAAATTGTGCAAACCAATTTGTTCTTCACTGTGGTTTCGCTCTCGCCTTCTTCTTCAAATGTTCATAAATAAATAAAAAAGTAGAGTAATATGAAAAAAAAAATTGTACAAAATTATTTCATTCAATAAATAAGAGAAAATGATGTAAATGATTGTATTTCTGGTTGAAAAGAATCATGACTGCTGTAATACTTGATTGCTCAAAATTTTTTGAAATGGTATATGAAGAGAATAAATATGTGGTTAATAAACTTAAAATGGCCATCCCCATTTTATGCTTACGAAGAGTGTAAATAATGGGTATAGTGAAAAAACCAATTAAAATGTGATTATGTGCATGAACAATATATATAATGAAGAAGATGATGAAAGATGATATTTTTCTCATTTTAGCATAAAATTGAATTGGTGATAACAATCTCTATCTTTACATTGTCATTGCGAAAAACATCCATACCTTTGTTAAATTTGTGCAGGCATTTTTCTTATTATGTAACATCTTCGTCAATACTAATTTTTAGTAGTGATTGTAGTTGAGGAAACATTTGTTTTACGTTCTTAGATCACCCTATCATATCCTTCAATATAACTTTTTAGCAGTGATTGTTGTTGAGGAAACATTTGTTTTATGTTCTTTGATCACCCTATCATCTCTGTCAATATTAGTTTTTTGTAGCGATTGTTGTTGATCATGAATTTACCCATTGACGTCTTTTTGACGTTTCACAATGGACTTGAAAACTAATATTCATATTCATGAACATGCCCTTGTATTTGTGCAGACTCAAGCAGGACCAGGAGATCGGCCTCTTGTGGATATCAGGATCAATCGTGTGACGATACACGCTAATCCACTGGCTGGTTAAGTGTAACTTAAATCTTTATGTAATTGTACCCCATTTTTATGGTTGTCAAGGAACTGAGGAAATCTTCATTCACAGTAGAAATTTTGTTGATTAATCCCCATACCTTTTACCTGACTGGCTGATTGATTTGTTTGATAGGATGGAACATATGGTACTAAACAAATGCAATATTAATTTTATTTGCTATATAGTCTAATCATGTTAAACATTGCATACCAAATATTTAATCGGTTTTAATCACCGGAGTTCTAACTATGGTGATTTTGCATGTAGTTAATTGAATTATGTGACTTGTCAAGCAGTCTGAGATAGGGTGATTGGGAAAGTTTTGCATTGCATTGTACTCCAAACTCAAGTTTTACGTGCTATGTGAAGTTCTAGATTGATGCTTGGCTTGAATGTGGATTCGATTCGGGTTAGATTCAATGTAGATCCAACTTTCGATTCACTCATGTGATCCGACGGTGACGTTGGACTCTTTTAAGGCAAGGGACGGTTTGATTTGACATTGTTGTTTACTCTTATCCGATCGTATCTATTTAAATACATTCGAATGATCTGTTGAGAATGTATATAATTATTTCGATCTGGTCCAGTATGGAATGAACTTATAAACATGGAATCAACTCGATCATCAGATTATAAGTTCATAACCCTAACCCATTCCCATTCTTGGGGTCTAGTTACAAAAATGTCAAAACTGTACTTTTATTTCAAATCAAGAACCGGCGTTCAGTTTTGGTACTAGAATTGATTTTTCTCCTCTTGTTTATCTTTATGTTTAAGTAAGTGTAAATATTCAATAAAATGCATTAAGGAAAAGAGTAACGTTATTTATCACGCAATTTAGGTGGTAGTGGCCCTTGATTTTTGTTTACTGCATTAAAACGTATCATGACTTTATTGGATGAAAATGATGAATGTGATTTTAAAACTAAAGTGTTGTTCATCATAAAAAGAAAAATTATTTCATTCAATTTAAATAAATAGAAGTGTGTAGACCAAGTTACCCTAAAGTCATGCTGCTTGTACAATTTTATTTGACAATCTTGATTGACAATTTACATTTGGCAACATCACATTCATTTATTTCAAAAATTATTCTTAAAATTAATGGTCCGTGTCTACCATAATTGTCAAGCATGATTGTACAAATAGGTTAATTCGCTACCCTATATTTTAGTCAATTATTCTCTCTGCTTTTTCCATCCCGGACCACATAATGTAGCATAGATTCAAGACCACTGCCA